TTTCGGTTTAGGCTTGGGGGTTTAGGGGGTGATCATGGCTTCATTCATTCAAACCTTAGGCAGGCCGAACCTTTTCTGCAGCATCGTAAACTGTTGAAGTTGAACCCTAAACCATAAACCCGAAGCCCTAACACAAGCCCCAAACCTGCAAACTCTGTAAGCCTGATCCGCTAACCCCAGACCACCTCAAGCAAGCTTGCTTGGGTCCACTTCCCTAGAAGCCTTGGGCAACCAAGAACTGTTGGCCTTCAACACATCGACTAATGTAGGTGCCTTAATAATTAGAGAAGGGATTTGGGGGGTTCCTTACTTATGATTAAATTTATAGTAGAATGGACCCCATAAAAGTATAGTATAATGGACCCCAAAATGCTATTCTAATTATTAAGGCCCCTATATTAAGCTTCACGATAAGCAAGAAAAGCCTTGCCCCCCAAGCCCTAAACCTCTATCGTCTCCACGCTGACAATGAACGGGACCCGACATTCCAGGTTTGGCTTTGTCGATGCGTGTTGCAAGATTTTAGATCCAAGTCGGTTTGATTCAGGCCTGTTGTTGGTCCATCTCTCCCTTCTGTTGTTTCTCCCTCTCTTGCCCTCCCTCTCCCTCTACACAAGTATGCAGAGTTACTCTAATACTGTATTACACACGTACGTATACCATCACACCCATATGCAAACAATGGAGAAACCCTAAACGCTAAACCCTAAACCCCAAACCCTAAACCCTAAACCCTAGCCTATGTACCGCTAAGGATCCAAAGTTCCCAGTAGTTGGTACTTGCGTTTACGCAAGTAGTTATGTAGATGAGTAGTTTGGGAGAGTATATCACTAAACCCTAAACGGACCTCAACCCCTGAACCCCTATACCCGAACATCCAAAACCCTAAACCCTCAGGGTAATCAAAGGCCCTGCAGGCCTGCCTTTGTTGGGCAGCCTCGCACAGCAAGAACGGAAATCCACATGTCTCATCTAATGTGGGGGCCCCTAAACCCTAAACCCTAAACCCTAAACCCTAAACCCTAAACCCTAAACCCTTAATAAGTAGAATAGGGTTTTGGGCTCCTTTATAGTATAGTTCTAATAAGGAACCCTAAGGAATGATATTGGTAATTATTTAGGCTTCTATAGTACAGGTAGCCTTGCATGTTTTGGGGTTTTGGAGTGTTGGGAGCTCAAGGTTTAGGGATTTGGGGCTTCAGGTTTGGGATTTATATGGTTGAGGGCTTTTTGGAGTTTGGCAAAGAAATCCCAAGAACTTGGAGAAAAGAATGCTTCGTGACCTTTTAGGCTTTAGGGTTTGGGTTGAGGGTTTAGGGTTTTAGGATTTAGGGCTTTAGGGTTTTGGGGTTTAGAGTTTTAGGGTTTAGGGTTTAGGGTTTAGGGTCTGGGTTGAGGGTTTATGGTTGGGGCCATCTTCAACTACCCATCCATCACCCAAGACCAAGCAGGTTAAAGCAGCAGCCTGGCAGAGAGCCCAATAGCCCTTAAAGGAATATACCTTAAATTATAAGGCGCTTCATCTTCTGATTTAAGTTGTATTGCTTCAATATAGTGGTGTTGCGCTCTCTGGGCTTGTCACTGGAGCCAGACCTGTCAGACCGAACGCAACCAAACAAACCTTTAGCGCCCAACCCTGAACCAAGCCTTAATCTCAGAGACTCCCAAACTGCTTAATTAAGGGATGTTAACTTATACTAGAACCCCCAATACGATTTCAGATATATTCTAAATTACCGTCAGGAGTTTTGGAGTCTCTGAATTTATCCAAAAGAACCCAAAACTTCGTAAAAAAAACCCTCAACCCTAAACCCTAACCCCGACCTCCCAAAGCCTACACCCCGGAACCCTTCAAGCCATATATAAGCATGTTGCATAGACCCCAGAAGCCAGGCCCCTTTAGACGAATATAGAAGCCTAAACAATTACCAATATGATTCTGAGGGGTACTTATTTTAAACATACTATGAATAAGCCCAAGACCCAATTTTATTATTAAGGCCCCTACATGATGATATACCCCTGCAAGTCGCCCTGAAAGGAAGCAAACCTTGAAAGCTCTTCACTCTCTTATAAAGCCTTTATAGATCCCTTACAGCAGCCCTGAAAGGAAGCTCAAACCCTAAACCCTGAACCCTAAACTCTAAACCGTATAAGCCCTAAACCCGAGAAGCTCCAGAGCCTTTCGAAACCTGCAACCGCAGGCCGTCACTGCGAGGCTCTCAGGAGCCAACTCGGAGTGAGGGTTTAAGGTTTAGGAGTCAGGGTTCAGAGTTTCGCGTTTAGTTTTCGGGGTTTAGGGTATTTAGCTTCAGGGTTCAGGGTGTTGGGGGTTTCAGGGTTTAGGAGCTTGACTTTTTGGTTCTGCACACCCGAAACCTTGAACCCTGTGGCCCTAAACCCTAAGCCTCAAAACCCTAGACCCTAAACCCTAAACCCTAAACCCTAAACCCTAAACCCTAAACCCTAAAAAAACCCCTAAACCCTAAACCCTAAACCCTAAACCCTAAACCCTAAACCCCTA